ACAGTCTTTTGTTTGGGAAGTGAAGAATCTTATGAAGCAGTCCTCAGAATAAATGCTGTCTAATCTGTTCAGTGCCTGAGGAAACTCCAGGGGCATGTTAAGAATGACAGTACTGGGTCAGATAAAGAAACGTTTGTCTATCTTTGTGTCCCTCGTGGAAGAGCAAYAAGTTGCAGATACAAAGAGAGAGTGTAATTTCTCTAAATATCCCCTTTCTGCTCCCGAAGCCTGGAGCTGTGTCCACTTTTTCCCGGCTCTTGGTGTTCACCTCTTCAGTGAATTTTTGTAATTGCTTTTTTTTTCTGGGAACCACTTACACTTGAGCACTCTGCAATCGCTTCCTTGGTCTGTGCTGACATAAGGTTTCTTCATTTTTCTTTGCACAAGTTTCCCGAGCAGAGTAAAGCTGTGGTGGTTCAAATAATGACTTTTAATTTTCTCTTTACTCTCAGCTAGTTTGCAGACCGTACCTTGGTGTGATGAAGGAGCACTGCCAGGCTGGCAGGGAGCTCCTGTTTGGCAGGAGTGCCCTCTCTGCAAACTGAGGCATATCTTCCTTGATAGTCTCCTAAACTGCGGTGAGACCCGTCAGCACGTCTGACTTTACTTTCTGTTGGGCTGGACGGTGTACAAACATCAGAAGCATGTCATGATCTTAATTTGTTGCTGTGGGGCTGCTGGCATGAGTACGCGTGACTCTTGCTCAATTGAACCTTTTGTTCAGGGGCACGGCAGTGTGGGTTTGCAGACAGCAACAGTAAAGCCAAAAACAGGGACTGTCGTCTTGGTGGTCTGGACATCTTCAGTCTGGCCGTGCTCCCGGGAGCTTCCGAGAAGCTGWGCTGCCACTTGTAGCCTTTCTTCATCTCGTAAACTTCCAGCGGCTGCTCAAATTAGCAGAAGCTGAAGCCTTCAGGAACAGGGGATTTCCAGCCCTCTCCAGAAAGCTGCTCTGTCTCYGCTAATGCTAGACCCCTCTCTTTGMAAAGAATGAGGGAGAAGGGAAGTRTARRTGATACTTCRYTATTTGTGCTTTCAAATCTGCCTCCTCCCTTCTCTAAGCACTATTTACTTGTAAGATTACCCTGAATGACTGACTGAAYAACCTTTGCTGAAAAAACTGGGATGAGAGAAGCAGCAGTAGAGTAGTACCAACACACCGGTCTATCTCATAATGCTGTSTCATACTGATAAATACTCTCCTGAGCTAAACTGCAGGTGGAAAAAGTGGCACTTGGAGCCAGAGAGGKGATTAAAGAGCAGGTGTGCAGACAGCAGAGCTGCTGTAGTATACGTCTGGCTGACTCTCTGATTAAAAGATGAGATTTAATGTTTTCTTAGATAATTGAAATGCTTATTGTGCTAGCACAAACAGCAGCAAACATTCTATGTCATAGTTGAAGGAGTGCAACTTGAAAGRCTTGGTTATAGATTGAAAAATAAATCTAGATTGTCCTGGTTACTGATACGTAGAGATAACGCTGTCTATGAGTGGACTTTGGCTCTTGAGGCAACACAGGCACGTCGCATTTTGTGTCGTGCAACATAGGTTTGCAACAGGACACCCTAATCTGACCTGTAATGATGGTATGTTTGGCTTTATGAAATGCTAATGCTTTAAAGGACCCTGCCTCAGGTGCTTCCAGCGCTCTTGGTAGTCACTCGATTAAATCATCCTTGGTTGCAGATGCTGACTGACAGAGAAAAGAGCACATGCAAACAAGCCAGCGAGGGCTAATGCTCAGCCAGCTTCTAAAAATACTACAATAGCTGGATGGTACAGTAAGTTAAGTAACATGCTTTAATTTCATATTGAGAGCATTTATTGGAAGAGGAGGGAGAGCTGGGGATTAAACCATGAAGCAAACAAATGACTGTACTTGGAGCCGCTTTCAGCAGCAGCAGGAGGGACGGTGCCGGAGCAGAGCAGGTGCCCACCTTGCTGAGGGCCGGGGCYCGGCAACAAGGCTGCTGGCACGGAKMAATTATATAACTTCATTTCCTGCCCCCCTCCCCTTTGTRCTTTTACCTTGTTCCAGTGTGTGATCTCCCCTGCAGCTGGCCGGGCGCCAGCGTTTGTCTGCGCACAGGGGACACAAACAGATTCTGGAGGGTCATGTGAAACTCCCCCTGGCTCTTTAAACCTCACCGCCCTTGCCTTTTCCCCTCCGCTGCCCGCATTGCTCGCACAGGTGTGGCTTTGTTTATGCACGGCCCGTCGCTTTGCTTTAGCACCTGGGCTGTGCTGGCCCGCCGTGTCCGGAGGAAACCTTTGCCTCCCTGCTTTGCTCAAGCTGCAGGAGAACTCTCTGGATCTTGTGGGCAGGCATTTGCACGGAACCAAACAGGCAGGGGCRTCAGTCTCACGAGGGCAGCAGCAGCAGCCATTAGTCACTGCAACCTCTGCTTCTGAAAACTTTGATCTGCCTTTGCCATGGCTTTGGCTTAACTTTGTGAGTAAGGCCTGTGGTTCTCAGCATCTTCTGGTGCAGATCTAAGGTGATTCCAGAGAGGGTGTATCCTATTCCTGTAAATTTTTGGCAATTGCTAGTTTAAAAACAAAAAGAAAAGTCTGGTTTAATTGAAGAGTTACGGGCCTTGAGCCAGGTGAAAGCTGAAATAAGGTCTCTCAGTTAAGTGTGTGTTACTGCTGTAGGAAACCCAAATGTGAAATGATGCATCTTGGCCCCATTTCATCTCTGTTACTACATAGTACTTGCCTTCCTTTCGTATGTTGGGGCAGCTGAAAACACATTTAGGTGTGTGTCAAATAGTTTATAACTGGTTTTCATGTTCCAGCTTTTGTTTCTCTTGGGATGACCTGTTGCTCTTCTCAGCCAAGAGGCAGCATGTTGCTGCCTCTATTGGAATGCACATTGGGACTTTTTCCTGCAAGGTAGAACTAATGCTGCTTAACTTCATCTGTGGGGTTTTAGTTCCCCCATAAAAATTTGTCATGTTGAATTGCATGGAGGAAAACACACAGAGAAAAGCTCTGCACCAGACAAACATGTTCTGCTGAGTTCTCCATGCCTGCAATGCTTGCCTCTTAGCCTTTGTATTGAGAGCAGTCTGCTTCAGTTTTAAGTTTTGACTGAAACTTTTCCTAGATAAGCGTCTCCTCCCCACTGTTGCCCTGGGCACCTTGGAAAAATTTCAGCTGAGCTTTCTGGGGAGCAGACTCATAATTTTGTACGTCCTTTCTCAGTTGCCTTCTTGTCTTGCAAGTCCCAAATTTCCTGCGTGAAATTTAAAATGGAGATTACACGGGCCAGGTCAGTGATGGCTGTGTGGTGTCCTAGAGRAAATGTGATAAATCCAGTGAGAATGACTAGCGTTCCAGAAGCACTAATAACAATGTTAGGATGCAATGCCCTGTGGTTGCAAGGATTAGATGAAAACAGGAGCTCGTGAGTTGCTTGTTCCTGGTAAGTGTTCAGTTAGCTCCAGTGAAAGCGCGAACAAATACTGCTGTGTTTCAAGAAAGTAAGAACAAAGATGCTGGTGCTGACAGAAGGTCTGATGTGGTTTGGGGGTTTTTTTTTGGATTCCTGAGAAGCAAAAACAAAAACTCATGAGATAAGCAAGATGTGTCGCGTGAAACATCAGCCAGTGTTGTGAAAATCAGTGCAAAGAATGTAAAGAGCTGTAAGGGGACATAGCCAGTATGGAGGCAGAAGTCTGAGTGATCCCAGTTGTATCTGGCATAGATAGATGGATGCCTTTTGTATCTTATCATACAGTGTTTACTCATAAAAACCTTCCTTAGTCATACCACTGCTGTCAGTTTCTGTCTTATAGATGCCTGTGGGCTCCTAAACTGATCCCTGATGGTGATGACAATTGAGAGCAGTGCTCGAGTACTTGAATCAAAGCTCAAGCGTTTGCTGAGACAGTCTCTGTGATGAAGCGATAATTTATTTCATATACTGTATGACTATAGCCAAACACAGTCCTAGTCCTCAAACACTGCATATATTCTGTAAGTGCTGGACTGAGGGCTCACGGTTGTGCGTGGTTGAATTACCGCTCACTGTGTGCACGTTACTGCTCTGCCTTAATTACCATGTCATTTGCCGTGAAGGTGGTTCCTATGTTCTGACATAAAAGCAGGTCCTGCCATTGTGTGTTTATCCCACACTTTGGGCACAGTGGGATCATGTACAGAGTCACGTATGTCACTGCAACAGTTTATGCTTGGTAACGCATCAATGCAGTCAACTTCATGCACTTTCCATACCCACCCTTAGCTGGTATAATCAAAGGTATGCCAGTTTTGTAAAACCATGTATCTGATCTAAATCTCCTTCTCATACTTCTAAAATGTGACTTATCTTGCTTCTCCTATTTTCTTGTTTATATTTCAATTTTCCTGCTTTCTCCTAGTTGTCTTCTTTGGCAAGATCTGTGAGAAACGGTGGTAATTTAGACTTAGCCAAATTCAGTTTGTGTTGAAACTTCGTGAAACTTGATCTTGTGAGAGTTCCAATATGAAAAAAACAACAGGTTGGCATCCAGAGCCATGGATGTTTATCTAAACTGAACTTCTGATTTCTCTTGAGGTTTAGTAGTTCACTACTGAATCTGTTTCAGTCCAGTTAATTAGTTACAAAGCCCTAAGACACAGACTTGGAATTAAAGAAAACAAAGCCCCAAGCCTCTGCRTAATTTGATTCAAGAAGAAACTTTTGTGAGACTAGGAAAGCATTTGCATCACTGTTTCTCAGTTTGAAGCGCAAACTGGTGTACAGATGAGCCAACAGGCACAGTCATTGATTCTGGATCCATGCCACACGTATTAATGTGACAGCCTAGTGTCCCCCTGTGATCTGCTCCCCCACCTTCTCTGACATTGGTTTCTCCTTTCAGAGGCATGGCAGGGTTTTTTTGTTTTGTGTTGGTGGTTTGACTCTGTGTAATGTAGCTTGCAGGGAGTACAAAATGTCTGTTTTTGATAAGACATTCTTCTTTTGATAAGACATTCCTCTTCTTGTTTTTAGGACAATGTAGATCAGACTTCAGCTCATGGTCGGCGGGATCTGGTGGAACCAGGTTTCCAAGAGCCATCTAACCGCATCTCCCTGAGCCACCAAGGTAAGGAGCAGTGCATGGGAATCCARGCTTCTCGGGGGAATTCTGGCATGGTTTTGCATCCCTGTTGCAATTTCTCCTTCTCATTGGGGGAAAATAGGAATGTTGTGGATGGTYGGAGAAGGAGAACTGAAGAAATCAGTTTTTGTCACGCTTGTCCTTTGATCAGTGAGTGAAGATGACAAAGGACTTGWATGGATCTCAAACCTTGTAGCCCAAGATGGGATTACTAGCCTGGGTGGCAGGGATGTTCTTCGATTTGGAGGGTGGGAAGGAGGGRAGTACTGACACTGAATTTAGCATTTGTAATGTTAAGGTTGCATTTTAAAAAAAATCTTTGCCATAAGAAGGGGGTCTGGCTTAATGTCTGCAGTTGGAGAAGACAAAAAAAGGGCATGTTTATTCCCTTTCCATGACAGAAATCAGCTCTTTTGGAAAAAAGCTAACCCTGAATTAGACTAGTTGTAATGCTGGTGTAATAGTTTAGCTTCTGTTAGTCAACACAACCATGCATAAAAAGCTAAAACAAATCTTAAAACCCTAGTCTTCACTGATTTCTGTTTGTTCAGAGATGTAAAAGACAATAGATATTATTCTTACAGAGACTGTTCAGCTCAGCTTAATTTTGTTAGGTTTGAAATTATTGATMATAGTGTTCTCTTAAGCAGTGAACCCTCTTACCCTCAGGGTTTCTGATGGTTTGATTTGAAACCAAGTTTATGGTCATCTTCACATGTTGTTTCATCAGTGCAACAACTAATAATAATGCAGACAGAACAAGACTATTGAAACAAAAAWATTACAAGCACATTACTTAAAATATTTGCCAAACATGACGTGCTTAACTTCTCCTTTAAAAATCCAGCTTTTTTAATTTGTCAAGGGCAGCAAGGCTTGAATTTCATGACTTGTGGATTATCAAGACTATTAAAGTTTCACAAACAAGTCCCAGAGTGTAATGAGGATTGTATTTTAACTTGCTCCCCCTTTCCATGCTCCAAGTCTTCTGGTGTTTTTAAAGCTTTGCTGTCAATTGAAAATAGAAGGCAACAGGTTGTAATGTAATGTAGTCTAAAACTTGCAGTCTCAGAGGCAGTGTGTTGTGGCATTTGCATGCATAAAACACATTTTTAAGTGCAGTTTTTCATTTGTTTTAGAATTAATAATGTTTGTTACATTATTTTCACCTATCTTAGGATGTGCAAATCATGGAACAGATCTATACATGTGACTTCTGAAGCTATTTGTAAACATCCCCCTCTAATCAAGGGATTTTTTTTTGGGAAAACAGGGAAACATGCCTTGTGTGGTCCAGGTTCATTTTTTACAGTGCACGTGGCTGCTGCTTTTGAAGTCTGAACATTTATAGAAGAARTAGGTAATACTGTGTTTTGATGGCAAAAGGCCAGCTTTGCAGCCTGACATTTTCCTTTTCAGATCCTTCTTCTATCAATATTGTTGTACTGCAAAAGGATCCATACAGTGTCACCTGACATGTGGCTCTTTCTCAGCCCCTTAGAGACAAATGACTGTATGTGATGGTCCAAATTAATTTAGGAAACAGCTGTCTTTAAAGAAAATGGTTTGCATGGAGGGTACTGGCAGTTCAGTGCCTGTTTTTCAAGCAAGACTCAGTTAAGTTTTTCTCCAGTACTTTTTGAAGTAGAGATCACTTAGGCATCAAGCACAATTTGTTGGGGCTTTTCTTCTATGTCAGCTGACTGACAGCAATCAAATCCACTATTTCTCAAATCTAATTTTCTTGCTGAGGTAAATACATGGTACAGTATTAATCTTGAGGCTGTTGTTAGCAGTATGGATTAAAAACAGAAACCTAAATGCCCAAAGGTGACCTTTAATGCTGAGCTGGGTTGTAGGGCCTCTGCCTTTTTTCAGTGTTGGAGGGAAGCAAGGTACATTGCGGGCTTGATACCTCCTGCTTTGGGACCCTCTTGGAAATGGAAGTGGCCTGATGTTACATCATGTCTTGTGTGTTTGTTCTGTCCAAGTAGAAATATCTGCACTCTTTTCATAGCATATGAAATATTCTTGTCCAAGAACTTGAAAGTACAAATATTTTTAGAGCTGGCATATATTCTAGAATTCCAGATTAGAAAAATACAACGCAAAGAGCTTCAGCTCAGGGAGTTGCAACTTGTTTTGAACAGCTGCCATGCAGTGATATTAGTCACATAATAAGTAGGAAGATTTGATTATTAACATGAAATGGATTTTTACATTCTGTGGTCACTGTTTTCTTTGTTTTTTCTTACTCTCACACTAAACTTTGTTATSCATTACTTTCTATTAAAGCCTTGCTGGCACTGACACTGGTTTAAAACTCAAAAGAGTAAACCTGTATCCAAAAGCAACTTACAGAACCACTGCAAATCAATCTGTTTGGTGGTATGCCTTGATTAGGTTGATGATTATGCAACAGGTTACGGCAAGTTTTGCTTCCAGTTATATGCAACATTGCTTGCTGACTTAAGCATATACGTATTAGGAGGCCTAAAGCTTCTGGGATTGGCATGAGCAGAAATTGTGGATGGGTTAGAATTGGCTGAAGTAATTCCTGTGTTCAATGTTCTCTGCCTTTTTAGCGAATAATGCATTAAGCACTGCAGCTGAACTTTGAGCAGCCGTAGTTGTTACGGTATTTTATGTGTGCAGTTGCAATTCACACCTGACCACATTGCTCTGTGAGCGCAGCAGATTTGCCAGTTTCTGTTGAACATTAACTTGTGGTCCTTTACTTTTCACTGGGAGAGCTTTCAGTACAAGCACCTGCAATTCTCAACCAAGACTGCTTTCCACAGCCTATAAAAATTGTGATTAGCTTCTTCCCAGGCATCTGAATCCCTKTAACACAAACTGGAAAAAGAGCATTCAAGTGGAGACTGAGATAGCCCTGCCAACTGTCCTTGCATGAATAAGCCCTTTCTTGTGAAGGGTATTTCAAGTACATGTTTCCTGCTGAATCACTGTTTTTGCACAAGCAGATGCTTTATAACTCTTCAGCTTCTTCTTTCAAAAGAGTATCTTGTAAAGATTGGGGAGCAGAAGATTCTTCTGTAAAGTGAGGAGTCTGTGGAATAGGGAGGTTTCATGTGAAGCTAATGTGCAAAATTGAGTGCAGATGGAATAGTATTTTTTCCTAGAAGTAGTTTCATAACTGCTTGTGTGTAGGTATGCTAATAAACTTGCTTGCTTTAACAGTTAAGTGTTTTTATATCTTAAGCCATTATTTAGTACTCACTTTTCAGTGATTCTGCTAATTGGGCAAGTTTTGTAAAGGTACTAAATGCAAAGATGGGAAGTTTTTCCTATATTCCCCATAAGCTACTTCATAAATCAAATGTAATAGAAAAGAACAAGCTGTCTTGCTTAACAGKATTAGTGTCCACTAATGCAAAGGAGCAGATATGCTTCAGATACCTATTAAAAGTTACAGAAAGTTAAGAACAGCCAGCCAGGACCTGGCATTTAATAACCAGCAAGTCCAAGTATTTCTGGACCAGTCCTTCCAGAAGCTGTAGTAAAGCCTCTAGGCTTGGAGAAGAAATACATGTTTGACTACATGGCTTTTCTGAAGAGGAGAAGGTAAGAGGTGAAGAAGCAAGCAAAACAATTATTTACCATCTTCAAAAACACCAAGAGAAAGAGGAAGCAAGAGCTTAGAAAGTGACAGCTGGTATTGATTTTTTCAGAATTTTTTTTCCTCTCACTTTGCAAAAGATTCAGCAGTCACAAATTGTTTRTTTAAAATTTTGCAATGACCAGTTTTCTGCAGTGTGTAGCCTACAGTATTTGTACTGTGTCCAGTAATGAGAGGCAGAGCTGGGGACCRTTTTAGTTCCAACCCTTGCATTCACACAGGGATGCCCTTTAGAGGCCTTTCATCAAGGTGATAGGCTCCAGCATTTGTTCTCCTTTGTCCCTTTCCAAAAGATGCTGCTGGTTCTCATCTCTTCCCCAAGTACCCTGGCACTGCARCCTCTGTTCCTCTTGACTGCTCTGTGATGCTGCCAAATTTAACCTTGCATGTGTCTCAGTAAAAAGACAAAGCTATCAGACAGATCTCCCTGTGCTACTGAGGAAGAGCTTTGCTCTATGAGTTGTGATGGCAAAATACACTGTGCTACAGAAAACTGTAAGCCCGATAGAATTTGTTGGCTCTTGAACTTCAGGGGGTTTMACCTGCCCACCATACCACTGCCATTTCTCTTCTTGCTCTGTACTTCTGGGATTTTCTTTGTTGATGCATGTTTTGGAGCTCATTTTTTCTGTTTGTTTTTCTAGCGAKCAGCAAATACTGCCAACTCCAGTCCCAGATGTGAAGTTTATGGGCAATATTTTTTATTGGTGCTTGACATGTACTTTTTGAGATTGCGTAGCTACTTCTTATTCAGAATATTAAAGCCAGGCATAAATAAGGAATATTCTGTCACCTTGCCTTTTAGTGAAAGTATTGGACATGTGGTTCTGGCACTTTATCTATGTGTGTACTACTGGGATGATTGTCAGTTTCTGTACAAATGTGTTCTGCCGTGGGTCTGTGATGAAAGATTTATCTTCCGTTTATTAGTGAATCCATGCGAAGTCTCCCTTTCCTTTCCTTAGGCGCTCTCAGCTCTTATTGTATGCTTTTTGTCACTGAAGTTTGCAGACAGAGCTGAGCTGAACCTCATGGTACCTCCAGCCCCACAAGCCAGTGGTTCTAGCAACAGAAAGGAAATGGTGRTAAGAGTTGTTTTAGCCAAGAGCTGTCCTTTGTCACCAGCCTTTGGTCTTTCTTGGTTGGTTGTAGGAAGTCTTGTCTGTAGCAAGACGATGCTTATGCTTTGGTTGGCGATTGGGRTGGCATTGGATTTCCTGTCTGTATGTACAGACCACGTGGCTCGCAGTAAGATTGGAGAGATCCAGGGCATCTGCCAACTTGCATCATACTGCAGCCAACTCTTGAGGTGGATGCTGTCCTGTACCTCRCTGGCTACTCACTA